AATGCTATTCATAGAACAATTGACATCCTTGAATATATAAAAAAAAATACATCTAAATATTTTTCGCCGACAAATCCATTAGCCTAAGAGTTTAACTCTAACCTAATCTGTTGCGAATTGGTCAGTTCCATTTATGACACGTCATTGTTATGTTGAAATGATCGAAATCCACATCCAAAATTATTTACAATTGCCAGAAAAGTAATATTGCGGAAGCTAGAAACAAGTGGAAAATGTAAATGGTAAATCGGTTGAATACAGTTTTGAAACAATACGTGGTTGGATTCCGAATCGCGGCAACAGTCTCGGAGATTGTTTCTATAAAAATTACTAAACCTATACATGTTTTGAAACAATAGTTTAAAAAAATAGAAGTAACTTCACCTTTCTGTGAAAGTACTCAAAACATGTATTCCTTCACCAATCCCGTCAATCAGCACCCTAGTTCACTTTTAATCCGTGATAAATTGTATTCACCTGAAATGTGACAAGTACAAATAGCAAATAATATTCTAGTCCAAGTTAATCCTTGACAAATTGCATTGATTTGAAACATGGGAAGAAATAGGATAGGATGTTATTCTTCTCCTCTGTTCTATGATTACTTTGAATTGTATACGCGGTAAATATTCCCGTGAATTCAGGTCAGCTTAGAAGCAGTCGGAGATAAATTGATTTCAAAATTCCAAAACATGACCAACTCACAGATACATGTAACATATTCGCAGTGTTCATGTTAGAAATTGTGGCCAATAACAAGTTTGCATAACCCTACCAGGGTCCTAACATCACATTTCACACGCGCGCGCAGTGGCCCAATAACAAGTTTGTATGTGGAAGTTTCACACATGCACGCAACGTATTTGAAAATCCTTAGTTACACATACTTCAGGAGACAACAGGGCATGTTTATTTTTCAGTTTTTGAACTGAAACAATTTCACTACAGGGACGAAGCAGTCAATCGTGTACTCACGCTAGCGATAACGGGTTGAATAAAAAAATAGGCAATGGCGATAAGACTCGAAACAAATTGAAATGAAAGATATAAAGATATTTGGATTAAAACTCGTCTCCTATCCTCTTCTATTACATCTAATGCTTAGACATGTGACAAGTACAAATAGTAAATAAAATGAACTGTTAATTTCATGTTATTACAGCACAGTGCATACTGCGAGTCTGAGGTTATTCATCCAGTAACTAAATTCCTACATATATTTTGATACATATTTTTTATATTATTAGTAAATAGTGAACAGCCGGCGTCATAAATTTAATTTGGCGTTTCGCTACATACATGCACGGACATCATATTCAGTTCATGACTGCAGAACATCCCACGTTACGTACATTAACGAATTTTATTTTTCTGTCTTTAAATCATCTTTTTATCGCCCTACTACAAATTTAGAAACAACGCCGACACTAGTCTCGAGGACCACCTCGGCTATTTTTTTTACGAAAGTCAGAGTTTGACTTCTCGTGGAAAATTCTTTGTTATTGATTTCTATGGTGACATTATTTCACAGATCCTGAAGCTTAGCTCATTTATATGCGACAAAACTAACGTTCTTTTGTAAATGACGTGAATTTTCAAAACGGTATCCATTATATCATTAAACCCAAAATTGACATTTTAAGTTGATATCACTTGGGTATTTTTGCTAACAATATATATATATATATTTCAACAAAGCTGTTCTACAATTACTTAATATTGTTATTAATTATTTTATTTATTTTTTTCATTAAATGTTTGTTAATTATCAAGTTAATTGTTAAGTATAAAAAGTGATGAAAAGTCCACATTCACATTCATACGACAAAAAATGAGAAACGAAAACAAATATTAAATGCTACTATTTACATATCGAGTGAACAAGAGACTAATATGTGGTGGGAAGTAGCGTTGTAATGAACACTATGTGGGTACGCCATCCCGGTCCCCAGCCGTGGTCTATTTGCAAATCATCGGTGCGGACCGACTGTCTATTCGTGGGGGTGCGTACCCAAGGCTGCGTAGCCGTGTCGATAACCATTGTATGAGTGTTTTGAAAGCGTCAGGGTATATTTCATTTTCTACTGTTCATAATTGTTATTTCCCATTGCTACGAGAAGCTGATGATTTGATGACAAACTAAAAGTGCAGCGAGCGGCCGAACATGACACGGAAGCCCTGAGTTTAATACATGCTGGAAGAAAAAAACAAACAGTGAAGTTTATGTATAATTAAAAGATATCCCAAACAAGAGATATTTTCATTCGCCGGGAGTTTCCTTTCAATACAGTATGTTGTTATTGACAATAAACGATGTCGATTTTAGTAAAAAAAAATTGTTACACATATGTTGCTTAATTTTTAAATACCCAGTCTCTATTTGTTTCCGAATACAAAATTGTATTCATATGCATAATGTGGGTCCTGATGTGCATTAATGGGATATTCTATGGCGAATAATCTGCAGCAATGACGTCATAAAATTCCCCCACTTACGAACTGTCGTGGAATTGGCTAGAGGTGAAGGAATGCCTCGTTATTGACTAAAAAGCGACATAAATCAATGTATCATTGTGATTGTAAATGGTCGTCATACACATGCGGCGATTATGTATTTGGGCTAAGCACCATTTCAATCTGGAATAGTGACGTATACATTGTGCTCACATCAGATTATTTTCTGTCTGTCCTTGTAATATTAATATACTAAGTTTATTATTATGAGGGGGGGAAACACCCGTTAAGTTAGAAAACATGTTTCCCAATACTGAAACGATGTGCCTTGGCTACAATTTGAAAAATAAACGAATGGGGTGTGGAGGAGGTATTAAGAGTAATGCTCAATGCAGTTTCCCGAACTGGACGCCGAAGTTTTTTTCCGCGCGAAAACATCTTCCATCGCTTATGTATCGGCATGGAACTAATTACTGAAAATGTCATGTCATTACAAATATGCAACTATAGAGATAGATTGTTTTGTTTTATAATCACACACTGGCGAACAGTTTTTCAATAATTAAACTGAATACAATCGGGATGAAAACAAATTAATTCAATGTGATGAGTATTTCGCTCGCACACTTACTCCAGGTCCACGAATGCATATAACATGCTATGTAATTTACAATTAATAAGCCATCGTAAAAAGTCATCGGATTGCTATAAAATGAGTTATCTGTATACACAGTATTGTTTTCACTATTCATTTTTTTCTTTGCAGTATATTTCATTAATTACACTCTATATTCAATATTTAAGTTCTCTTTACGATATTATAATACTTTGCATGTATTTAACTCAAATCTGAAATCACAAATATATGACCACATTTTTTAGTGTACACTGCCCGCTATTCTGAACATAAAAGCATATTGGCCTAGGAGCGTGGCTATAGTTGTATTAGTTTCTCTATGAGTGCATTAAATTATACAAAGTTGTAACTATGGCAAGGCTCACAATACAGTCATCTTTGCCAACTCAGAGAAAGCACGGTCAACATAGTTGTATAAAGCATTCCATACATTAACGGCCATGGGACATAATCATTATCATTTTATAGTGATTTAATTTTGGTAACTCCATAATTGCTCTTTTGAATCTCTTTGTCTCAGATTAGTATTAAGCGCTGATTTTTCCATGAGCAATTTCTTTCCAGCGTACATATTAGCAACACTAACATATTCATGCTTAAGTGTTACAATGCATTCATTATGCAGACCAGTGAAGAGTTGGGGCATTTGTAAAACTGCTTGGCTAAGTATTAAGGCTTGTCGAAATTCTCAGCTAGTAAAAGCAATGGCCAAGCTGGATTCGCGTCCTTAGTTTCTTGATGGGAATGCCGAACTCCATCCACAATTTTTGGCTGAAAAAGCGATACAAATAAACACAATGGGCTGCAGGTGCACGTCGTTATTTTCAACATTGCATTCAATATGTATTTGTTTATTTTATCAGTATGCAAAGCCGTGGATTACGGCAGTGTATGATTTTGATCAACGTCATCAGTGTGCGGAATACGTGTACACAATATATCAAAAACTTCAAACCATAGGATTTTGAATGGCAACAATACTAAATTTCTGAATATATAGCAAAATCCATTCAGGTATTATCCTTGAAACGAATCCAAGTGATCTGATCGCAGCGAGGCGACTGCTCTGCAAAATACGATTTAAATTCAACATATGCAGTGAAGATTTCTCTGCAACAGGCATTTTCTTTTCTAGGAAATATTTATATTTAAGATATGTTTTAACAGATGGTGTTCTATTGTCCGTGTATGAACCGTTATTCGAGCGCGCCCATTACACTTATATTACACAAATTATTCGTATTCGAGAATTGTCAACATACAAAAACACATTGTTACAGTATGATTTGAAATCGAAAGAATGGTAAGTTAGTGGTGGTAGAAACGTGCTAATTACCACCTCAATTTTGAAACATAGGCTGTAGACCAATACTATTAATGACATCTAGCCGTTTGTGTCATGATTACCACAAGATATGACAGAACATATGCACGTTAGCATTCTATCTTGAATAGTGCTCCTTGCACACATACTATCTCTTCGTGTACAAGCGTACGCACATTAACGGGGGTTTAAAAGCGGGTTAAATATCATTACAATTCATAATTTTAATATTAGAACCAAGTTAATATTTTATTTCAGCCTTTAAATATCTAAAACAATTCAATTATATTACAAAATAATTATGATAACAACGTTTTAAAAGAAATTGACCTCGTATTTATATTTTATTGTGAACAACTATTATAAGTAACATCGCTAAATGTACAGGGAGTCCTTTTCGACGAAAGATTAAATTGGGCCAAGTGATTAATTTCATATTTGTGAGGACTAAAGAGAAAGTATGTGAGCGGGCCGTATGCACATCAATATCCGCTTAATTGATATTTGCATATGTGCGTCACCTGTGAGCAAGATGGGGATCGTACTGGCAATTAGCGAAGTGCACTCAAAGCATTGAATGCATGTCTCTCCACAGCCCTGATTCAGTGGCCGTCACGTTATGGTTTCAAGATAGGTTTAAACAACACTTGCTGCGCTTGTTATATCGGATTGGTTGGCGGAACTGACAGAAAAGTAGACAGCATCAAATCGGTCTCAATATTATTGGTAAACGGCATTCAAATATGACGGCACGGCAAGCATGAAGATACTGCGAAAATATCGATATTCCTTACTGGTGGCGATCGGCGTGTTCGTGTCCCTTTATCTCTGTAACACGGAAACGGAACGGCCCAGCCGACGGATGCTTCCATCCGATGAAGACGAGACGACGTTCCCATCGATTGATGTTCCAGTTACAGGTTTCCATGCCACACCAGGACAAAGCACACACATGCCAACTGTAAGTCTCATATGCTAACACCAGTATGAATAGAATGACACTAAAGTGGGAACGGTTTTGTCCTTGTATGTTTATATTGTTGTCATCCGATAGCACGGTAGTAGCAATGGCGTGCTTATGGCCTGTTGCATGCTACGCGTAAGTACTCGGAGATTATTTCGCTACATTGCGCTCTATAATAATTTTTATATTTTCTATTAAAAACATTTAGATCTTTGTCTGAAAGCAGTAATTGCGAACATACATTCAATGGTCTGTTGTATAACTTACAAGATTGGTTTGCAATGTATGTGGTTGTCAACGCCGTTGCGTGTATTCACAAATATCCAACCACATAATCACGACCGATGTCAAACATGGCGCTGTATTTGCTTGTTCAGCCTAATCCGGGTTATGTGTTGTGTGGTTTTTTTTTTTTTTTTTTTTTTCTCTGGCACGCTCATATTGAGATCCTTGTAAGCATGGCCACGTGATGGCAATCGTCCAGCTTAGCAATTACAGCAACGCAATGAGATACGGGGATCTCTGGCACTTACAGCGTGAGTATGCATTCGACATTGCTGTACCATGTAATTGTACATAATTGTACACAAATCAAACACTGAAGTTGACATTTCAAGAACAAACGATTAATTAACAATATAATTACTTGAAATAACGTACTCGTGAATCAGTATTAAAATAAAATACCTATATACTGTTATGTTATTGAATTATACGCATACTGTGAGGTGAAAATAACAGCTGTTGCGGAAATACTTCTGAACAGCGTTCAATTGTTTGAACAGTTTTTTTTACAATGGATGACATGGTACTTGTATGCAATTCTGTGTATACGCTACCACGCCGCTGTGACTGATTTGTGACCTGTCTCCCACATGACCTTCTGTTAGGTTGGTTCATGGCAAAGTGATTTACTTTACGTAGATATTATATTGCAAGCTGTGGTTCACGACAACTTTTATTTTGTTTAATAACCAAGGGCCTATTTGTCATTGTCAGAGAGAAAGCGAAATCCCTAATAACATTCCATCATACTGTAATGAAATTGGATTGATCGATGCATGTCGGATTTTTTTTTACTGTGAACGGTATGTTTAAATTAATGTTGTTTGTATGACTGCATGTTATTCTAGCTTACCGATATATGACCAGCTAATACACATGAGAACAACTTGTAGGGTATTTCAATAATTAAACCTTGCCATGGCTCTCCTACGACCCCCCCCCCCCCCGATTGACATACAAACTAGCTCAGGCCCATAAGGCATGCGTTTCTGCAATTGACGACGCTTGGGTATAAAGATTGGTAAGATCAAGTAACCAACACCACGGAGTCATTAAAGCCATGTAAGTTTAGAAATGTTGTTGATTTGCCGGGATGTAAAGTTTACCCGTAAATGTCACCAACCACTTTTACTGTCTCGTTATTCGTAATTCCATCAGTTTGTTGGCTAATGATATAAGCGATTTTAAACGAAACCACATATTTTGGTAATATATACCTCACTTTAAGGTGGTTGGCTACCGTGACCTTAAAAAAAATGATTCGATGTGCTTGTCGTTTACGCTACTGTTGTGCACAAATCTAAGGTAAAAATATATGGTTACGAAACATCCATTAAAATGGTGATTATCGAGGATTTACAATTGGTACCTATGGTAACAAGTTCTCACCAATATCTTACAATTTCATTTGGATACATGTATATGTAGTTATAATGTATGCTCTCATGATTGTCAGGAATTATTGACACATTCTAATGATTATTATTAATTAACCAATTGTTTTGGCTTTTGGGGGGATGGGACTAAAGATGACAATAATTATCTGACAAAAATTAATTAAAACAAATGCTGCTTCAGTGTTACAATCAGTAGAACGCGTACATGTTATCGGTGGAATTAAGGACACATACGGTCTACATTGTCAACGGCCTTGGCTGTACCACATCTGTTTCACGTTTCTGTAGCATTATTTTTTCATCCCATCCCCATATTGATTAATCAATGGAAATGAACTAGGAGAAAACTGTTCTCCTCAATCTATAGACTCAATCAAAAAAATGTTACACACACACTTAATTTATTGATAGTTACAAGAAACGCGAAAAAAAACATATATTGGATATGCAGAAAACGTTCGCAAACAAATAATTTTACACACGGTGTATACGTAGTATTGAACCGCTACCAAACACGAAGCGGCAAGACAACTGTGGTGCTTTAATTGCGAATTTCGATTTTTAACTTTTTTGTTTTCATTGTTTTGTATCACGCGCTTCACACTATGCTACCGTCAGCGCGTACTCGGCAGTCGGTCGAACCTTTGATTCGGAGTGAACGAGCATGTACATCGTGACGGTAATGATCTACATAGATGGAATTGGGTGTTCTCAGCCATGCCAAATAATTCGTGTAATTACTCGCTTCGTGACAGTTAATCTGCAAACAATTTGCTGCACTACAGGCTGGTGGGCATGGCATAAAATTAAAAATATATTCTTATATAGCGACAACGCATTATAAGCGGTAAGAATCTGCACACCAAGTTGTGTGTCTACCATTGACATTGGACAAATAAAAACCGACTAAAACGACATTTTGATCAGACAGAAAGTTCCCGAGTCTGAGAATTGTATAAATGATATAAGGTATTCACCATTAGTTTCCACCATACAGTTCACATAGATCTGGTGACGCCAGCATTGTGAAGCTAATGGAGAGATCATAGTATTTCACTTTTTTAATGTTCAACTCATACTTAAAATGCCGCATTTAAAACATCTGTTTCAAGGGCAATAACAACTGAGACAGCTACAAAGGTTATTGTATTATATGTTTTATTTTGATTTGAGCGATTGGCACAAATTATTAGCACAATTTACAGCATTGCTAGTATAGATATGCATGATGCTAACCATTATGTTACGTGTCACTTCGCTGACGTTTGACGTGAACAGGTTGTGTTTTACCAACGAACTGTTCACCGCTGAACCACAGCGTGGAATATCGTATGAATGTTTTACATAGGTGTGAAGCCAAACATTAACAAACCAGTGTTTTTTTATGATTTACTATCATGTATTAATACTTGTTATAAGACGTTTATGTGCGAAGCTTTCATAATATTGCATGTGCTTCTATTATCAGTATATCTCCTTTGATTCAAACCATACCGTGTCTAATATAAAAGACAAAGGTTGCTAGACGACGTGTTATATGAGAACTACCCGGATTCATTATTAGCAACAGAAAGGTTTTCGGACACGATTCACCCTAGCAACGATATCCCCCAAATACGAATATTATGATGCAGTGAGTCAAACTTATATTCATACATATGCACCCGACTAAGCCAGACATGTTTCTCGGCGCCAACGTCATATTGTTATTGGACATACTGTATATAGAAAAACATGAATAACATATAACAGGGAACACAAGGGAATATAGTGTATAATGTTAAATTGACCGTATACAACTGTATACATGTTATATTATTCCAAACGGTCTTTGTAAAACGATAAGGCAAACTATGGTTTTCTCTTGCGGCTATTTTTTTCGCATTCAATTATTATTATTATTATTATTATTATTATTATTATTATTATTATTATTATTATTATTATTATTATTATTATTATTATTATTATTATTATTATTATCATTACCCGCCGAAAATTTGACATATTTCATCGACTGGTGAGTCAAATGAAATATTATTCAATAAAATTGTCTTTCTTTAACTATTGAATGTTTTGTGCATAATTCATAAAATAATATGAGCGAAACAACATAATACAATAGTGTATCAACAATATTGATCCTAGCAGCTTTCACCTACTTTTCATTGATATCAACTTAAATATTCGTTCACGATTGATGCAATGTGTCCCGGTAAATTGCGATTCATGTTCAAGCACCATTTCGGTTTTAGACGTCAACAAAACCAAACATGTGCGGCATCACTCTCGGATTAAACAGCTAATTTTCACATGTTATCGAGTAATATTAATATATTATAATATTAAGAATTTCTTGAATTCTCATGATAACTGACTAAAAGTAACGTGAGAGAGGCCGGGGCGATTGGCTCCTTAACTGCATTTCCCATTGAGACCGAATGAAGGAGTTCTTGTCCATCAACAACTCTAACACTGTTATTTCCGGTTAAAGGAATTTCATGTTTGATAGTTCAATCTGTGATTCTCAGCATTTCGCGGACTGAGGACTTGTTATAATTGATGTAAATTGAGAAAAGTTGCAACCATCCTTCTGTTGAATTGCAATGAAATATCTTTCTGTAAACAGTTTGACGTGTAACACACTGCGAAGAAATCTTAAGACAAGAACGATGTAACAATTGATTGCAAAACGTCGTTGTGCTGTGTTGTTGGCTGGATTGATTGTTGAAATGATTGATTTTTGGTCAAGATGAATCTGAAAAAAAGAAACTAATTATGTCCTTAGCACTACGTGGCATTATTACCGTTCGCACATTTGCAAGATTTCAAAGTACTTGGACCACAGCCTGTGTGCACTTCCAATATTCGTACTAGGTGATTTTCAGGACGTTTGTGTTCTGACATGTGCAAAAATGTGGCGATGAAAAATTTTAGTTTCTGTTTTCTGGTTCTGCAACCCCAATAAGACCAACTAACAGTTCACAAATGTACGCCCTCAACTGGAAGTCACTCAGTTCTCAGTGTGAGGCTCTCAAAATGGCGACATCAACTAATCAAAACCACAATTTGAAAAGCAGGTTAGCCTCGCTTCTCGTAGCTCACACTACTCAGAACCTTTTCCTTACTAGTCAATTCTCTGAAACGAATACAAGATACCATTGGTATCTCAACCCAGGCTAACAAAGCAGGCGATTGTTCTGGAAATTCCTTTCAGATCAGGTGATGTCTGGGTACCGGTGAAGTCATTGCCTTGCGACAAAAGAGAAATATAGTCTTCGAGATTCATCACTGTATGTAGAAAAGGCAGATGCA